AAAATCGTTTACTGAGGCTGACACCTTAAGGCGTCCGCCCAAAAATATGCTACTTTTTGGAAGTATGTTGTCGTTAAGGCACCGCCTCAGAATCGATCATTCCGAGGCAGGCAAAATGCCCGCCTTAGGTAAATAAAATTGCACGCTTCCGATTAATCGCATGCATTATACTTGCATGCATGTTGGATTTTGACCGGCCTCGTTAATAAAAGGACACCGCCTTGCAAAAATCATTTGTGTAGTAGTGTACAACTTCGATCATATACGATGCACTTAGTAACATGCAAACAAGTTTATAGGTTAAGTTGACTTTCATCCAATAATATCCATCAAGGTCACATAGTCCTCGCGTCGCATCGTACCATAGTGAGCGTTAGGGCTGGACGACGCACACCGAAACCCGATCGCCGAACCAAAACTATAGTGAACCTTCGGTTTGTTTGGTTCGGTGTTGATTTGCATTTCTTGGAAATTTGGTGTTGGTTTTGATACCTTTATTGAAATGGGTGTAGTATGATGCCTTCTCAAGCTCATAGTTTTCCTGTTTATGTAGGCTAGGAAACAGCCTAGCCTGACTTATTACATCTTGGCTTAGAAGAACAAGAAACAAACAAACTACAACAACCTTATTAGCCGATCGAATGACCTTGGGAAGCAAGTATCTCTCCATACAACAACCACGGAACCAAGACTACTACCTAAATGGAGAACCTACAATGAATAAACAGAGTGTATATATACGTGAAAAAAAACTACAAAGGCGTACTATATCGTAGTAACACGTACAAATGTGGATTTGCATTCGAACTACAAAGCCGCACCCCGTGCATATATGCGTTTGCTGCTTGGTAGCACGTCGACGACGGCGGCGACTAACCAACCCAGAGATGTTTCCGTTCTGTGTTGGGCAAGCGCGAGACGTAGTTGCCTCTGCACGCAGCTGGTTCCCTCGTCCCTGGTCGTCTCTCGGACACGGTTGCAGGTACTAGTTCCTGGCCACACGTCCAGCGAGCGCTGCTGCTGCGTGCGTGATCTTCCTATACCAGGTCACAGTCACGGTTGTGACGAAGGAACACTGCACTAGCTAGCGATCGACGACTGCTAGTAGTGATGGTCTGTGGCTGTCAGGACAAGTCGACGGGCACACGCTTGGGCCTCGTTTACGACAGTGGCAAAATCACTGGCATGCGGCACTAGTAGTCTCTATAGTATTTCGCTTCAGATTTCGGTAATAATTGTTCAATCGCTGACTAATTAGAGCCTCAAAACGCTCGTCCCCGCAAAATACAACCAAACTGTGCAATTAGTTTTTGATTTTATCAACATTTAGTATATCTCCGTACATTCACCCAATGTAATTGATGCGATTTGATTTGGTAAATCTTCGTCTTTTCTGCAAATTTAACGACAAAGTTTGGATTTTAATAACTAAACACACCCTCGTGTTGATAGCGATCCGATTATTCTCCATTAGTTTCCAGGAACGTCTGATGTGATGGACTGGTTCACCTTTTATTAATCACTGCATGCATACTCATATATATCCGTGTTTATTGGAGCAGTAGCTTCAATAAAGAGGCAGAATGATGATGCTGGAGCCATCATCACACACGTATGTACAGCTGCTAGTCTACCACGTCCTCCTCAATCACTATATAACTGGCCTGAAAAGTCGCAAGGCCTCGCCCCTTCCACGTCGCGGGTTTATTTTCTAGCACAAGCCTCAAACCACGCAGGGCTCAGCTCAGGGGATGAGTCGTGAGGTCGTCGTCCCGACTCCGATGTGACACATTTCACCGCGTCCATCACTCCATCTCGCTCCATGAAAGCTGTCAGAAGAGCTAGCACACGTGCTTGAACGTGATAGATTGACAGGATGGCCACCACCATTGTCCATGCCACGTATGCATGTTGTGCTATAGGAAAAGACCAAATTAACAGCGAAAGCAAGAATGGAAAACCACCGACGAGTTCTTCACCAGGCAGTCTGGGTGCTAGCCGCTAAGAGTAACAAGTCTTCGAGCTCCAACTTAAGAAACCCAAGCAAGAACACCGATAACACTCATGGCTAAAAACTCAATCATCACTTCTCAGTTTGGATGGCTCTCCAAATGCTTCACTGACCTCTTCTACAAGTACCGGCAACTATGGAGCAGAAGAGCATGTTTAAATGAGCTAGAGGTAGCACTTATATAAAGGGTGAAGAGGCTGCTAGCCGTTCGACAAAGCTGGTAATAGGTACACACAATAATCACAGGATGATTTTTTGCCCTGCAAGGCCAGCCTGATCATACGATGGCGCTGTTATGAGATTCCTATGACGGCTAGTTAGAATATACCAGAATATTCCTCTCCATATGATACGTCGGTGGATCACTAAATCTAGCTTGGTTCACCAGATGATCCACCGAGGTCAGACAATCCTCCGCTGGAGCATATGGTGTACTCCAGTAACATGCCAACAAGTTACAAGGTCAAGTTGGACTTTCATCGCATAATCCATCAAGGTCACATGGTCCTCCGTCGGATGATATGGCGTACCATAGTGAGCCTTAGGCTAGGCGCATTTACACCGAAACCAATCACCAAACCAAAACCATAGCCAGCCTTCGGTTTTTGGTTTGGTGTCGATTTGTGTTTCTAGGAAATCGGTGTTCAGCTTTAGGTGTCGGTTTCAAGCCACACTCAACCTAAACTCCGTATTAATTTAACATCGCAGAGCCAAGTAGCTACGCTGTCCAGGGCAGAGCAGGCCACACCACCAAGACAGCCTTTATGCTCAAATTTCCACAAACCCCAATCGAAATCAACGACTGCACTTTCATAGTCATAGCCAAGCGCTTTCGCCTTTCATAGTGCCCTAGCACCCAAATCAACAAACGGCGGTGGCGCATCCGCCGCGACGATGGGCGGCAGTCCACAACGGACGACAGATCTCATGGCGATACATCGGCAGGTGGCGGCGCAAGATAGCGGACAACGGCGGTGGTCCCATGGTGGCGTGGAGCACTGTGGAGCGGCACCTCAGATCCGGAGGCGTGGAGCACCAAGAGCGGTATAAGGCAGTTGCCGGTAGTCTTATGTTCGGGTTTATTCATTGAAAACTAAACATCGAACCGAGAAATTGAAAACCAAAGTAGTCAGCTTTTGGTTTTCTAGCACGCTTGAATCGAGTGTTGGTTTTCCAAAACCGAGGTTCTCATACACCTGAAAAAACCAAACCAATAAAACCGAAAGAGCGGATTGCCCGGTCCTAGTGAGCTCGCCAACTTGTCATTAAGTCTAGATTGGCTTCACCGGATGATCCTTGTGGTCACAAAGTCCTTTGCCAAATCATAGGACGCTTCACTCTGTTATTGGGTTAAGTCATTGAATAGAAACAATAAACGATCTACAAGGGTCAACCTTATCGCCTAGTGTATGCTCCGCACATCTTTTCACCTATTTCAAGTCCTGATCTCGAACAAAACCAACTTCTTTGAGATCTTTGACTTAAAACTTATTCAATGAGGCCACTTACCACCTTCAAGGCTTCAACTCGAATTGTCGACTCTTTCTGTTGCCTTGGACCTCCTTTTGATAGTGCGGTCAAAGAGAAACAAATACCTATTACACACTACTAAGCTTAATGTCGCCACAACTACAGCCTACACTCACTTATAGAGTGTCCTTAGTCTTCATGAATATCCTTTACACCATACACGCTTCCATACAGCCAAGTCTTGGGGCGAAGACACGGGCATTCATATTGAGACTAAGTCAAATCCATTTATCCCTATAAAACACACGTTAGTCAAAACTGCTTGTAACTAATTAAAGCATATGTACTTAGATCCATCTATATGGACTACTTGGTCCATTATATATTGCTCATGCCCTTAATATCCCTTATAATATATGATAGAAAAGTAACAAACGACATAAATTAAGGATACCATCAATAATTCGCAGGACAGGGCGCTGCTCCCAAGGATTGGAGACACGGAAATAACAATTCACATCGTGTGTTTTAACAAGTGGATGGAAAGCAAGCCTCCAATACAATATATTGTTCTTTATCTTTCAATAATCCACATCAATCATTAGCAAGAGTAGCAGTGGCATCCTACAAGCATTCCATGAAGGGAAGCAGCTAGCTAGTCTTTCTTATTGGTCCTATTAGCTGCGTATCCGCTATAGCATCTTTGTGCTGATGTGCTCCAGTGTCCAGACGACGTCCTCTACCATACCCTTGTGCCACCAGGTGCCGACGAGTGGGACCAGATATGCACCGTCAAGCAACCACGATAGCCAGATACGGTCAGGTGCGAAATTTCTGTGAAACTTTCACGAACACAAGTTGGTCGGCGCGTAGTAGGCTGTTGGCCTTTAACAGCACTGCCACTGCAGCAGTGTTGTCCTTAATTTTAGTATTTTCCTACGATCACGCGTAGCACGCCCCCTATGTTCCATGCCATTTTTTTAGAGGCAGCCAAAATTTAAATAAGACATAATTTTAGGATTCTAAAAGATTACAAATAAAAATAATCATCAACTACAAAGTTATTACATATCTCTTTCGAGCTCTTCATATATTCATCTAACTCCATTTCAAAAGTTAATACCTTTTTGCTTCACCTATTTTTAAAGGTGGTCACAACTAACTGCATCTAGAAATCCGATTTCTAGAGCTGTTGGTCTACAAATCCTATCATTATACATCTGTCTTGCTTTGCTGTCATCTTCAACATCACTTGTTGAGCACTTGCACATCCATGGTCCTTGCATTCTCTCCTTCATGCCTCCATGCGGCTCAATCTAGCTTGTGGACTAACTCACCCATTCACCTCACATTGAAAGCATTAGTCCATTAATGTTGTTACTCGAGTACCAAAACTAAACCAGATCTTCCAACCCTAGAATTGTGTAAAGCCGAACATGCCCAAGTGCCTGATAATCTAGGGACTCGTCCCCTCACGTCATGCCACTTCTAAGCATCAGACCACTTGTGCGGAGCGACAATGTTGGCTTCAGGGCACACTTGGCCACCAGTGTTCAAGGAGGAGGCTGAGCGCGACGGAGAAAGAGGAGGAGGCACGAGGGGTGAGGAGCTTGGCTGTTTCTGTCACCGAGGCCGTGCAAGGTGCGGAGCGCCACGAAGCTTGCTGTCGCCAATCTCCTGCGGGCCACATTTGTCCTCCACACCATCCTCCCTGAGCCACACTCCTGTAACCCTCCATGCTGTCCTCCTAGCCTGCACCACTGGTGCCCCCCACGCCGCTCTCAACACGCTGCCTTGCGGCTCCAGCGACCGCGCTTCGAGCTTTGTTTGAAATGGACATAATCTTATTTATCATTGTTTTCCAAATTGTTTGAGACCCAACTTCAAACTGAGCTTAACGAGCTGAGCTGAAGTCAAAAGTTACTCAAAATTAACTCATTTTTATTTTGAAAGGAAAATGAGTTCAATCAGAGCATTTTGAAATGAGCCTTGAGCTAGCTCAACGAGCTTTTTTATCTGGCCCTACGTGGCAGTGCCCACGATTTGGGAAGGAGAGTAGAGAGTTTTTTTTATATGAGAAGGGAGAGAGCGAGAGTTGGTGTTGCAGAAAGGAGAAATGGGATGCAAGATTTGTGGCTGGACGCTCGTGTTGTGAGAGCCAAGCGTCGGGACGTGCGGACAGAAGCATTGTCTAACAGCTTATAGTTTTTTTCACTCCATATCGGCCTGTTTCGGGCTTTAACTGAAAAAACAAGCAAAAACACTGCTCCTACTGATTTGTTGTGAGAGAAAAACACTCTTCCGATCGAAAAAACAAGTTTAAAAAAGACGGATTATAAGGCAGGTTTTGCGAAGTGGTCATAGTTGATAGAAACGTCAGAGATCACAGCTGAAACCGAACAGACCTTAGTATGATAGCTAACTAGCAGGGCGATTCAACGCTGGGGGGCTGAGCCCCCCTACCGATACCGGATCACTGAACCCAAGAATTTTTAGACAAAGTTCTATCTTATAGGTAGAAATGAGACTTAAGATCGAGCAACAAATGAAAAGTATGTTACCGCCGCACTTTTGTTCAGCTCCTCCTAAATTTTTTCATGAACTGCTGCCATGCAGACTAGTTTACCAAACAGACCTTAGTATTAATGTTTGTTCGAAAGGAGATGGTTAAGCTGGAGCTTTTTTGCATTATAAAAGAGTCCAATATCTGTTTTTTAACTAAAACTTAACTCAAGCTAAAACCCACGTACCCCTTTCATTCTAAATTATAAGTCATTCCAAGAATTTTGGAGAGTCAAATCATTTTAAGTTTAACCAAAGATTATAATGTAAGAAATACAAAGGTTTATGACATCAAATTGATATACTATGAAAATATAAGTAATGAAGAATCTAATGATACTTAGTTGGTATCAAAATATTATTATCTTATTATATAAATTTAGTCAAACTTAAGAAAGTTTGACTTCCAAGATTTCTTTGAACGACTTATAATTTGGATGGAGGAGTACGTTTCATCAGTGAATAGTTTATCAGATGGTCACATCTAGTAAAAGTTAATTATCCACAAGCGCCTGCCAATGAGCAGCTGTTTGCAAGCCCTCGTTTAGTTCGGCCCGAATTCGGCGCCGGCAAGTTACTGCAGACACAAGAATTCATCAGTAAGCATTTTATTTGTATTGGTTAATAATTGTTCAAACGTTGACTAATTAGCCAAAACGTTTGTCTCGCAGAAAGTACAACCAAACTCGCGAATTAATTTTGATTTCGTCAACATTTAAGATCTACGCATGCATCGCAAAATTTAATACGACTATAATCTTCTTTTCAGATATAGCCAAAGCTTTTGAATTCTGGGTAATTCAAACACCCCAACTTTGAAACAAGCGCTTTGTGTGTGGTATATATATATCGGGTACCCAGCCAAGCGCACGCGTCGCCGTTGCCGTCGCGCGCCCCCACCTCCCGTCCCTCCGCTTCTCTTGAAACCCATCACTAGCCGTCCGGAACGGCGACGCCTCCTCGTCCTCGGCTCCTGCTGCCCCAGCGGTAGGTGCCGCGTCGCCTTCCTTTAACTGCTCCTGCCCGCACCGCATCTCTTCCCCTTCCTCCGTCTCCCTGCTGCTCCCACTCCTATCCTCTGCTCTGCCTGTCCCGTGTGTGCTCCATCCTCCTCCACCTGTCGCCGCTCCAACCGCCCCGCCCCTCAGATGTCAGTCCCTGCCCGCACCATTTCTCCTTCTTGATTGCATCCAGAGGCTAGCTCAGGATTCTGATGCCTGTTTCGATTTCCGTCTGTAGGACCGGGCCGGGCGACGAGTTGGCTGAGCTGCTGTGGGACCACGGCCCGGCGCCCGCACCGCCGCCGTTCCAGCCCTTCACCTGCAGCGCCGCCGGCAGCAGCAGGTCCCAGGAGCTCAAGCGCCACGCCGCGGACGCCACCAAGGCGGCAGCGTTCGTGACCCCCGTCGTCCCCGTCCCGCTGGGCATGCACGGCGCCGGAGCCGGGCTCGGCCTCGGCGGCCTCCCCGTCCACGACGACGAAGACGACGCCGTGCCGTGGCTGCATTGCCCCTGTCGTCGACGACGGCGACGGCGACACGGCGCCGCTGCCCCGGAGTACTTCGCCAGCCTGCTGTCCGAGTACTCGGAGGCGGCCACGGCGCCAGCGGCGGCCTCTCATGCCGCGGCCGTCGTCCTGGCGGCGCCGCCTCCGCCAGAGGCCGGCGCGGCCAACAAGCTGGCCCCCGCCGAGCGCCGCCGGCGGAGGAGGTGAGGGCGTCGTGAACTTCACCTTCTTCTCGCGGCCCCTCCAGCGGCCGCAGGCGGCGGCATCGGCCGCCGCAACCGCGAGCCACCCCGTCGAGTCCACGGTCGTCCAGGCGGCAACGAACCGGCTGCGGAGCACGCCGCTGTTCTCCGAGCAGAGGATGGCGTGGCTGCAACCGCCCAAAGCGCCGCGCGCCACGGCGGCAGCGGCAGCGGCGACGCCACCTCCACCCCCTCCTACTCCTCAGCTGGCGCCTCTGCTCCCAGATAGCCGCCATGGGGAGACAGTAGCTCAACCCCGGTCGCAACCAGAGGCAAGGCCCACCGACGCGGCGGCGGTGACGACCTCTTCGGTCTGCTCCGGCAACGGTGACCGGAGCCAGCTCAAGAGGAGCAGCCACCTGGCCGCGGACTGCTCGGTCAGTCCGGACGAGGTATAGCGATGGCATGCCCGACCACGCTCGCCACTGCACTGCACCCATTGATCCGATCCAATCTCGCTGCCTTGCCTGATTTGTACGCCTCCTCTCTGCTCTGCAGGACCTGGACGACGAGCCCGAAGCGACGAGGAGGTCGGCGGCGCGGGAGCGCCAAGCGCAGCCGCACCGCCGAGGGGCACAACCTGTCGGAGAGGGTACGCGCCTTCCCCTCGATGCACGCTTCTGCCAATGCGTGCGCACATGCATGCCTTGCCTGCCATCTCACTGACCGACCTTGCTGTGTGCCTGCGTTGCAGAGGAGACGGGACCGGATCAACGAGAAGATGCGCGCCCTGCAGGAGCTCATCCCCAACTGCAACAAGGTCTGTCTGCTCCACTCGATCGAGCTGCTGCTTCGTCGTCGTCGTCGTTGTCGTCGATGTGCTGAACAGCTGACGGAAAGCATCATCTGCCTTCTTTCGCGTGCAGATCGACAAGGCGTCGATGCTGGAGGAAGCGATCGAGTACCCTCAAGACGCTGCAGCTACAGGTGCAGATGATGTCGATGGGGACCGGGCTGTTCATGCTGCCGGCGATGCTGCTGCCGGCGATGCACCAGCACCTGCAGGCGCTGCACCACCACCCCATGGCGCACGCGCACGCGCACTTCCCGCACCTCGGCATGGGGCTAGGCTTCAGCATGGGCGCCGCCGCTGCGGGTTCGACATGCTCCCGCGCGCAGTCGCGGCCGGCGCGCACTTCCCGTGCACGCCGATGGCAATGCCGCCGTCGGGGGCCATGTTCGGCGTGCCGGGGCAGGGGATGCCTCGCTGACGGCGGCGTTCGCTCACATGGCCGGCACCGCGCCGGCTGGACAGATGCAAGCTGGTGCCGGTGCTGCGGCGGCTGCTCCTGCCCGGCCAGGAGAAGCAGAGCACCCGCCGGGCCGCGGCGTGGCACAGGTACAGTGCTGCTGCTGCAGCCATCAGAGTTGTCCTGCAGCCGCAACGCGCTGCCTAGTGTCTTCAGCTACTGATGAGATCGCCATTGTTTCTTTGTGTGCCCCATCCATTACAGGGCGATCAGGAGGCCCAACAGCACCAGAAGCAGACGTGAATGAAGGCGAAGGCGACGAGGCGGCTGGCTAGCGTGTCGTCAGCAGACGGCGGCTGCCGGAAGATTTCCGTCCTTCATCGTGCTTGCTGGTGTTGTCGGTGAGACGAGACGTCGCCGCCGAGACGCCAATGTCGCTCTGAATCTGATCTACTACTCCATCTCCATCGACTCTGACAAAGCGCATGCATGCAGATGCAGTGATGCAGCCATGCCAAGCAAAGCGGCAGGCTCTCGGGTTCTGAAGTCCGAACTGAGCAGACATTTTTTGTACCGTGCCTGCTGTAGCTTGCCTGTAGTACTTCTAGATTGGAGGAGAATGTATAGAGGGCAACTCGAGGAACGTTTGTTTCACGCAAGAGACGGGTTTTGTAAGGTTTCATGAGCAGAAAAAACGCTGTTCCCAGAACATAAGCTGGCCATCAAGAATTGAACTCTGAGGTGTTATTTAAATCAAGAGAGTAAAATTTAGGGATGTCACATCGGGTTGTCATATGGAAAGGTTCGGTTAGTAATAATAAAACAAATTACAGAAGTCCACATTAATCTACTAGACGAATTTATTAAGCTTAATTAATCCATCATTAAAGTATGCTTACCGTAGTACCACATTGTCAAATCATGGACTAATTAGGTTTAAAAAATTCGTGTCGCAAATTAGCCACAATCTATATAATTAGTTAATTTTGTAGTCTATATTTAATAGTATATTTTAGGAGAAAAAACTAAACAAAGCCTGAATGTCCTGCCTTTGATGAGTTTGGCTGCAGAGATAAGCAGATGATGCAGGCAGGACATTCAAAGGCTGCAAGCTTCTTACCAACCACTCACACCTAAAAAACCTAATGATCCAGGCAGGAACAGGCAGGGGGGAGCCATCAAGTGCTCAACTGTATGGATGGGCTCATACATGATACATGTACTCTACTGATTCGTGTGCCCATACGGCCATACTGTACATGCTTGTATCATGCTACCATGCAGAATGGAGATGCGGATGCAGAATGATGATGATGGGTGTGGCGTTCGTCGTCTCATTCATCTCGCTCTGCGTCTCTTGGCTGTAAAGTGCGCGTAATGAGCTGATCATCCGAGTTCCTCCCTGCCAAAGTGCCAAGACAGACGGATCACATTCACATTTCACGTACACCGGCGGCAGCGGCAGGCAGGAGCAGGACAGTGACCCTGAGGCACGGATGGTTTCTACTGTTCACGAATGGTCTCGTAAATTCCTCCAAATTTATCTAGATTCGTCATCACAGCGATCTGACTGCGCTTAGAGGATAAGCCGACAGTGGATGCTGTTGAATGGCGGATCAGCGGCGGCCATCACTCATAACCGCCCCTCTGTGCTGCTCCGTTCCTGCTGCCTAGCCTCTGCGCGTCTTCAATTCCGTCTGCCTTTTGTAAAGAAAGGCCTCTGCAGCTCTGCCTCTGCTGACTGCCGCGGTGCTGCAGTGCCGCCGCCGCTCTCATCACTCAAGTCTGAACAACTCTGACGCCGTCCATGCGCCCGTGTCCCTGAACCTGAACCGCCAGCCACACGGCAGCGGCGGCACGACCTCCAGCGTCGATCTCCTTCTCATCCACACCGTGTGTGCGGTGTTGCTGCTTTTGTGGCGGCCGTCATCTACAGAAGTATTTGCTACAGGGATGTTGCCGCTGCGGGGAGCATTGGCAACGCTGAGCAGAGCTGCATATGCAGTGGCCACGGATCCGTTGAACATTGTCCAGCTCTCTCTCTTTTGACTGCTATACTCGCTCCGATCCCAGTTATAACACGTTTTGACTGTTGTGGATACATTGCTGGTATCATATATCTAGTGTATATATATATGTATATATATGTTCCAATATTTAGAAAAGTCAAAACTTCTTTATAATTTAGGACAGATTGAGGCATTACTATACCACGATGCGCACCAAGAAAAAAAAAATCTTATTTTTGAGGTAAGATTAGTGTAGATATAAAATTATGCATTTGTCCCTCCTCTATCATTCTTGGAACTAAGTTGTTTTTTGGAATGTTCTTCCTCATGGATAGATATAGTATGTTAGTTTTTGGGTATTTTTTAATAGGTGGGTCTTATTGGAAAGGTGATCTCTAACTCTATAATTACATTTTTTTAGACAAGAGTCCTGTTCTATAGCATAGTGAATGAATAGTGTTTTTGTCTCACAACAAATCAATATACATAGACATAAGCCAAATTTCACAAAATTCCGAGGTTTGAAATGCAGGATTTCATTATTTTGGGAGGGGCAATCTTGCATTCAAAGGGGGCCTCAGGTTGAAAATTTGACTCCTTCGCTTGGATTTGAATCAATCAAGAGGTGACGCTAATAATGGTGATGCGGAGGCAGTCAACGATGTCGGCGTCAGTGGAGTGGAGCCCGTACAGCAGGGGTGTTCTCTGTTCCTGAATCTTGACCGCGCTTCATGCCATGTCTCATGCTAATGCCAAGGTCCGGTCCGGTCCCTAGATTGAGGTTAGTGAATCGGTGATTTCTAAAGATCAAAGATTTTTCTCATGAATTTAACTGACTCAAAAGATTCGTCTCAGAATTTATAATCAAACCATAATTAGGCTATTTTTATCTACATTTAATACTCCATGATATGTCAAAGATTTGATATGATCATGGAAAGAGGCTGAAAAAAACTTAATCTAAAACAGGGCCTAAGGAGAAAAAGAAAAAACAGCAACTCGTACTTGTTCTTAGAAACAATGACAGAAACCTCCTTGTAATATTCATACAATGCATCAATTTCTCGCTGCCATTCAGCAGATGCAGACTCCTTGACCAACCACAGCCAATTCAGCGCAGGCTCTTTTCCTCTTCTCCTAATTGGCTGCTTCTTGTTTGGCTCTCTGCTGCACTGGACGCACAATCCGGAGTTGATTCCTTCGCCTTATCGCCATCCATCAGAAAACCTTTAACAATGTACATTAGGCGTCATGCACAAGCCTTTAAAAGCTCACAAGTAGCACTACATTTGGCGAAAAATATGTCATCTAGTCAGTTATTGTCCAACAAAGGTTTGACACCGAACAGATAAGAGGACAGCAAAATTATGTCATCTGGTCAGTTATTGACGCTGAACAAATCCGCACCGGGTCCCTGATCGATTCACTTAACTAATTACGTTAAGAAACCAGTACTATCAATTCAGTTCGCTTCATCAGAGCAAGCAGGATCCAGGAAACCTATTCTTTAGTGACACTAATACTACCGACAAGAAACCCAACAACTCGTACTTGTTCTTAGAAACAATTGAAGAAAGAGGCTCATGATCCACGGGGTGAACTTTCTGAAAGGGGTTTTCGCAACGAGCACCAGAACTACACAAGCGGAGACAAATCACCTTGCGGCGGCCAAGAAACGTGGGGAAACCGCTACGCGATTCTAACTCCTCCGCTCAGTTCTCCCATCAAAGCATCCAGAAATGGAAACAAACCCTCAAATCAATAGAAATAACCCACCCAATCCAAGCAGTTCGACGCACCAAACGGGAAACCCCAAAATTTCCCAATAACTCGCCGCAAATCAGCCCCTGCGTACCTCTGCGGCGCGCCCGGTCGATTCCCTGATGATAACTGCGATTTCCCTTTCTCTTGCCACACCTCGTGCCCCTCGTCGCTTCGGTTGAAAGGGCCAAGCCACGAGCCAGAGCAGCCTTTGCTGTGGCGTTTGGACGGGCAGGCCGATTCCTTACTGCGCACGCGAGAAGCCCACCACCGGCACACGAGGACGAGCTGATTGAAGAGGCCTACTGGGCCAAATGATTTTGTATAGAGCCCGCCAGCCAGGGTAAGCATCATTAAGGAGAGAGGCGCCAGTGACAGGGGATGGACAGAAAGGCCACCGATAGCACTTCAGTGTCGGACCGGTGGGTATGGAAAGGCGAGGCCGCGAGCGCAAGATGAATGGAACCCCTGATATAATTGTGGGTTCATATCTAATATACCTCTGAAGGGATAACACTATATAAAGAAATCTGTGCTCATCTATAATGGATAAGAGATACGAGTTCCACGATATTTGCTCTCTTAGCGTGTTCATCAGGTGTACTGTTGGGAAGGGATATGGGAGATCATCTATAACTTCCTCACGCCTCATATGCTACGGAGAGGAAGAGAACCGGATCAGAGATCCACACCACCGCTCTACCGCTTACGTCATTTATCCCTTGCTGGATCCAGACCGGTCATGCATTACTTTTCAACACGTCATAAGCACGCTCTACCGCTACTCATCCACGACGCTGCCATCGCAGATTAGTTTTACTTTTCAATCTAGATCGGTTTGGTGTACAGACTAGCATGCTAGATTCGTAGATATCGTTTTTCCCGGCTTTACTCGTTCTAGATTGATCTTTACAGTTTACCACTACGCGTAGTTCACCTTGCCACTGCCCTGATGGCGGTCATCACCATCGTACGTGAGCACCACACCAAGTATGCTAGATTAATAGATTTATTATTTTTTCAGATTTTTTTTTTCTGCGCAACTACGAGTAGATGTGATCGGTTTTTGCATCTATATTAAAAAAACACGGCGCTGCTACCCGGCCCATCAACCTGACTGAACCGATCTGTTTATCGCTGCTTTCTTTGCACGCATGCTTTTTGCTATAGATTGGATTTTTTGTCCTGTGTGCATCTACTGAACCAACGTAATCGGTCAGATTGGTTACATGGCTGTTTTTTTATGCAAAT